TCAGCAGGACAAAGGCAGAAAGAAAAACAGTCACAGTCAGCTGAGAAGGGAAAGAATACGTGTGTCTGAAACCCAAATGCCCCTCTGGGTTCTGGGTGAGCTTGAACCACACAAGGAATGAGACTCAGCAAGAAACTCACCCAAGCTGAGAAGCACCTCCCAACCCGCCTGTTCCTGTGTCCACCCACCATGAAGGCCAAGGGTACCCCATAAAATCTCAGCTCAACCGAGCCCAACACTGCAACTAAAGGGAGCCTGTGATGTCGTGGTGCAGGCCCTGCCTGCCTGTGCTCACTGAGCAAGTCTTTAGCGAGGACCTGGTTGGTGCCCGACTGGCTCACTCAGGTGGGGCCGGGTGCGTCCAGCGCAGAGGAGCACCCCGGAGCATATCTGTCATTCCGTCTTGGGCCTGATACACTCAGAGGTGTGAAGGACCAAGAGACAGAAACCAGGGAACCCGTTTCTAAATAAAAGACAAATGAAACTACCATCACCAGAGAAGTCTTACAGAAAAAGTATTTTTGGTCCCTGTTTTTGTTTTCAGTCTTCAAAATTCTAGTTTCCCCTTCTGGCCATTTTCTGGGCCACTTCCTTCAATCATCAACTGCAGTTTTTATGATAGAAGGCAGATTATAATTATTATGAGTCTGTTTTTACAAAACAATAGGGAAGCAAAGACATCTGGTGGATGAAAGCAATAAATATGTGTAATAAAAACACCCCCCAAATGACACAGCAGAAGCCAAAGGGAAATAAAACTGGTTGTCTGCGTCAAGATGCCCCTTCGTTAACACAGGTAAGAGAGTCAACGCAGGGGCCTGGAAACGACCGTGGGTGGTTACTTTCCCAGCCCCCAGGCTGCCAGAGATGTGCACTCAGGGCTCAGGGAGGCCAGGCGTTGCACACTTAATAATTAGACTACTAAGTCATGCCCTCTGGCAGCACGAGGCTCCTCCTGGCAGGATTTATGACCTGAAAATGTACTGCCTCGTATCTTCCCCAGACTACCACCTGTACCGGAGCACCCCAGCTCCTCGGTAATGCTGCTTTCATGACTCGTAAATGGATGGGGCTGCTCATCTTCCCCAAATATTATTTGTAGGGAACATTAAAGCTTCATAAAACAAATCTATAGCCTAAGAGGGCTAACTCCACTTCAGATGTGTTTAAAACAACTCCCCGATGACGTTTCAAATCAGAACAGCATTTTCAGAGCCACAGACGTACAACTGGAGAATGTGGAATTGAGAACCTGGCCTCCTGACGCTTAAAAAGCTGCCAGCCCTTCCTCCTGAAGCGAGGGGAGCTTGAGAGGTCCCTCGACCACAACCTACTGCATCCCCACAGATCGACTTAGGCAGAAGATCAAAGTCATTAAAGCTGCGATTGATGGGAGAGTTCCCATAACAAGCCGGGGGTTGGATCTTGGAAGGTCAATTCTCTGTTTCAAGTACTCCTTCACTGCCACAATTGAGTCTGACACATCCATCACGGAACACTATGACTCTGGTACGTTACAGGAAGCACTCCTGAAAGTGATCCTATTATGATCTTTTTGTGGGCAAGTTTACCTCCTGATGGAGGCCAACATCCTTGGGAGGAAGAACAAAAGCTAGAGAAACTCAAACTCACCTCATCTGTTTTTGTCTCACAGTCCACTGGCAATAATTTCACTGAGACCAAGAAAAGAAACAGAGGAAATTAAAAGTGCAGGTTGTGGGAAAGGGTACAAAAAGGGATCACTCTCAAAATTCAGGGTAAGTAAAACATTACCGACATAAGGGGGGGGATTAGAAAGATGTCATCTAAATGAGGCATTTTAAAAATGTGGACGGTAAAAAACGTAAGGGGTCCTCGGTCTTGGATTAGGGATTAGTACAGCTGTGTTCTAATCCCAGGGGAAAATGATTAGCCACAGGATAGTAAGCAACTATTCACTTAACCACTCTGAACCTGTTTCTTCATCATAACATGGGATCACTAAAGCCTTCCTTGCTTAACTCAGACTTAGTCTCAAACAAGACAACATATATGATGGTTTTATAAATTGTACACGTTATGTTAAACAGGGATTAATACTATCATGGGAGGGGAATTCCAGGTAAATCCCAGTATTTATCCAGGAGCTATTGTCTTAAAGCATCTCAGCAGTGAATACGACAGTATACCGTTTTCTGACATCACCGATGTAAACAGTTATATAGTTAGTACCAGTACGGTACCATGACACTCCTGGGACTGCTTAATTTCTCTAGCAGGTGGATTAAACTGCTCTCACAGTCAAGAAATTATTTGGGTGTGCACGAGCCTGGGATCCCCGTGCCCACAGACTTGTTCATACACCCAAATATCCATCTGCTGCAACAGCTAAGACATAATTTAGCCTTTCCCTGCATTTTGGCTGTTCCTGCTAGGCATGGAAAGATATGGCCTGGGCTAGAGGCTGGGAATAGTATTAATCACAACCATTCTTTGCAAAGAATATTAAAAGTCAGTGAACTAGAGTCATTTTATACTTAAATTTATAAAGAAATGGTCTTTGTGCTGTTTCCTATTAGCCTAGAGCCCAGAATTATGGAAGAAGCAAATTTTCCTTTTAGGAAACACAAACCCTTAACTATTCGTTAACATACTGTATCCTGCAGACTTCTTGTTGGCATGTCTTATCACGGAACTATCTGTGGACAGAAGCACGGCTGGGAACATCCTTGAGTCACGGGACCCTCTCTTTTAACACACCCCAAGAAGGCGCTGCAGTGGTAAATGCCATCATTTACATCAGTTTAAACTCTTTAAAATGCTCTTCCACACCTGTCTCAGAGGCAGGGCTAGTATAATCCTTTGACAAATGAGGGTCCTGTGGTCCAAAGAAGTGGAGTATGTGGCCTCTTTGGTGCTGCGAAGTTGGGACCCCCAACCAGAGCCTATCTGTGAGCCGTGACACCTGGGGTGCCTTCAAACGGGCACTAATGTGTGAAAGAGCAAGAAATCAAAAGGGAAGAGAGAACTCAAAAGCAATGGGGGTGGACCTTTAGAGGGGTGTGTCAGAGGGCTTTCTCTGGAGAGGCAGAATAAAAGTGACCACAGAAAGATTGCTTCCAGCACGTGGTTGAAAGGGAGATTAGTAGGGAGGGCTAGGGCAGAAAATGAGAATAGGAGAAAGTGAAGACAGAAATTTTTGCAGATGCAGGAATCCCAGCCCTCTCCTCTCATAACTGGAGGAGGAAAATTCAAAGTCTGGAGGGAAGAAGACGGCCAGAGACATCTGACAAGGCCCGGGAGTGTTCAGCCTGGTGCTGAGAGGACCGGGGCGGGGGGTGGGTGAGGGGCGGATTATCTTGATGGACACACGCGCGCTCAAGGCCCTCCCCTGCGCCGGCCCGGGACGTACTGTTGTCCTCCGCCTCCTGCGGCGCCGAGGGCTTGCCCATCTTCACCCAGAGGATGCCCAGGAAGACGAGCAGCAGCCCCAGGCTGGCCCAGAGCAGGAGCCGGGAGAGGCAGCGCTCCAGCCGCCGCCCCACCTCGGGCCGGGCCCGCGCCGCGCCCGCCTGGCCCGCTCTCGTCGCCCGCAGGCCCGGGCGCGGGTCGGGACCGAGGAGGGCGGAGGACGGCCGCACCGGGGCCGGGGACGAGGCCCACCACCGACGGACTCCGTGGCCGGGACCCGGCGCGGCCCTGTCGAGTGGCCGGCAGTCCTCGTCCTCCTCGGAGCTGCCCCGGACCGAGGCGCGGCGTCTGAGCGGCGCGGGGCGGGGTGGGTAGGCGAGGCCGCGGCTCCTGGACCAGGAAGCGGCGGAGGCCCCGATGTCGCCGTAGGCCCCAGAGGTCGCGTAGGCCGGGCCCGAGGCCGGCGGGGAGAGCCAGGGCTCCGACCGCAGGGAGGACGCGGCGGGCCGGGCGCGAAGCGGAGCCTCCTCGCGCAGCCGGGCCTCCTCCCGCAGCCGCTCCTCGCCCCTTGCCCGGGCCTCCTCCCGCAGCCGCTCCTCGCCGCGCTGCCGGACCTCGCCCCTCAGGCGGCGCAGCTTGTTGCGGTAGACGTTCCGGGTGGTGTCGGTGATGGGTCCTGGCTGGAAGCCCAGGGCCTGCAGCTCCCGCCGCAGCTCCAGGTCCGAGAGGCCTGCCATGGCCAGGACGCCACCCTTGCCCGCCCCCGGCGCACACCGGACCCGGAACTGTTCCCGCCGACGGCCGCGGCGGAGCAGGCGGGGCCCGCGCCATGTTGAGAAGGTCGTTCTTCGTCGCCATGTTGAGAAGGTCTGGACCGCTCTATGGGCGGGCCATGATGAAGAGGTCAGACTCAGCCTCCAAGGCTGCCATGTTGGGGAGGTCTGAGGGTTTTTGGCTTTTTGTTTTTGTTTTCCTTTTTTCTTTCCCACCTTGCTCAGTCCTTCTCGTCTGTAAGAGCAAGTGGTGTTTACCTCTGAATCCTCCTCCCCTTGCACAGTCCCTGGCACGTGGTAGGCACTCGATAAAGTCATGTTGATTTAATGGATGAATTACTTAATGGTAAGAAAATATTGCCTGCCATATCAGTAAACTAGGGATCTAGCCACCACGTTACAGTCACCCCCAATGATGAGCCCTGAGGGAACTCAAGAAGGAAACAAGGGATGCCCGCCATCTAGCAGCCACTACCCACAGTGCAGCTTGAGGAAACTGGATGAGAAAACAGAGGAAACTGGCCCCAGATAGCTGAGGTGCATGTGAAAGAACGGTTTAAGTGAGCCCAGACTCTTGCATCTTCCCATACATAGAAAAGTGCTAAATTCCTTAACTTGAGTTATCTGGTTTTCTTTTATTGACAGTTATCTTTTGTTCCAACTACCTGGTGTTATTGCAAAAACTCCTATATATCCTGACTGCCCCTCTTCCCCTTCGGAACCGTTTTCTCAGTGTTATCTGAGAGGCTCTCTCCCGGGCTTGAAGTCCTAAGAATGTCTGCTGAATAAAACATAACTCTCAACTTTTAAGTTGTATAGTTTAGTTGACAATGGTGAAAGACAAACACTGCTGAGAGTGAGGAGATGGAATCCTTTGCCTCTCTCTGCACTTGGGGACCAATGCGTTCAGGGAAGGGCTTTGTTTGGTTTGTGGCGTAGACCCCAGGCATGCTCTGGGACCTGGTCTGAACTAAGGTCATGGTCGGCAGGCCTCTGTGTTTTCCTGGCTGTTCACTCACTGACATTGAGCCCCAAGGGGCTGCAGGCCCTGCCCTTGGCAAGATGCTGGCAGGAAAGGAGCTCCCACCAGAGGAGGACACTGCATCCCATCGTGGGGGCAGAAGAGGCAAATGCCCTTGGGCTCTTAGGGGCAGTTTGAGCCTGTGCGAGGAGGCCGTGTGGCCGGATAGTGGGATTTTCATAAGGAGAGATAGGTAGGAGAAGACCCCAAGATGTAATCTTGTGTCACCTGTGGATTTAGGTAGGGGGTTCTTGAATCCAGACTCCACCACTATTAGACGTGCGATCATATCCAATTAACATTTCTAGCCTGTTGGCCAGTAAACCTCAGGATTGCTGTGAGGATTAGAAGAGGTAATTTGTATAAGGTGCTCAGGACACATGCTTCATAGTGTTTGCACTTAACCCATTTGCGTGCAGCATCAGTGCTATGTAGAACCTCCCTCCCGACAGAGAAACCCCTAAGGAAAGCATGGGGAGTGGTGACAAATGGAAGTAACACTGTGGTGTTCCTTCTGCCTTCCACTCCCTCTTTGTATTCCTTCCACATGGATCATCAACTGCCTTTCCCAAACACTTATTGCTGGTCTCATAAGTTCCATTCTCTTTCTAACCCTCCAATTCAGTTCTCGCCTTCCCCCAATCTCGCCTCCTCCCCTATGGTCCTGTTGCCCACCCCCACCTTGTCTCCCCACCCTGGGTCCCTGGACAGGGCACCTCTGCCAGCGTTTGCATTTGTGCCGCTTGCTCTACCACGGAGCATTTATCACTGGCCACACTGCGGGGGAAATGACAACCTCCGCTTGGTCAGGCTTCCGAGTTAGCCTCGCCATCCCCCCCGACTTAGCTGCTCCCATGTGGTGCGATTTCTCTCACCAAGTGTTGTTTTCCTTTTCTCTGCCTGTGTTTGCATGGAATACCATGAATTTGATATAGTGATTGCCTAACACATATACCACATAATAGTATTTTCTTTCTTTCTGAAGCACTGATTGCATGACAAATGAGTTGCTAACATTTGTGCTTCTCCTTGCAGCTGTGCAGTTCAATATATAAAGAATGAGCCTTTCAGCATCAATACTGGCCCCATGTATTCTAAGAGGGCTTGAAACTGATGCTTAAACAAAGTTAATGTTACAGCATTTTGCAGAGTTACAGTCTATTTCCACACAGTGGATCTGGGGGCGATTTAAAAAAATACCCAAATGGGGCCACCCCTGGGGTGGTCCCCAGTGTGGGCTTTGTCAGCTTTCATTGTGTTTGGGGTCCCGGCTGCTGCTACATACACCCAGGGCCAAATGACCCCCAGCCCTCCCCCAGCCCCACCTGAACCCCGTTGTCTTCCCTTCAGCCTCGAACCCATCATGTTTGCAGCAGTGCCCTCCCTCCCCCCATCCCCCAGCACTCCATCTCTGCCTCGCTGGGTCTAGCAGGCCTTTGGGGTAATGTGCCACCACTTACAGCATATTTGCCAATCACGCTTCCCTTCCCCATCCCTCCAAGAAGAAGACTCACAATCTGTTCGGAAAATTCAGTCAGAAAAAACCTCATGAGGGACCTCCCTGGCAGTCCAGTGGTTAAGATTCCACGCTTCCACTGCTGGGGGCGTGGGTTTGATCCCTGATCAGGCAACTAAGATTCCTCATGCCGCGCTGCAGCCAAAAAATTTTTTAAATTAAAAATAAGAAAATTAGAAAAAAGGAAAATTAAAAAAAAAAAAGAAAAGAAAAAAGAATAAAACCTCATGAGTCAATCATTCCTCCCAGGTCTCGGGCCTCTACATTTTCCTCCTGAACTCCCCGATCCAGTCCACCCTTTCCCTGGATTGATAACCCTTCAGGGTCCTCCATCAACATTCTCCGGCCTCAAAGCACTTTTACCAGCTTCAGTGAAGTCAGTTTGTTGCCCATAAGCTTTTATCCACGTGACCGTCCCCACACTTCTGACACTGACCCTTAGGTCTTCCCCTCCGAAGGGCTCCATCTTAGTGCTTCTTTGCCACCACTGCCTGTGTCGTGTTGGGAGCTGCCCACGAGGCCCCTTTGGGCCTTCTCAGATCTGCCTTTCTGTGTCTCTTCTAGTTCTGCCGCTGGGCCTGTCAAGTATGGGAACACACATTTCCAAGAAGAGGGCAATATTGCAAAGTCAACGGCTGTCCTGTGTGCCCTCCTTTCTCATCACTTTGTTGTGGTTTTTTTTTTAAGGTGAGCACCTCAGGCTGCGTTTGGTCTTCCTGATTTCTTAAAGTCAAAAGAGGGAAAACAAGCTCCAATATCTAAATCTACTTCGTAACCACATCCACACATTTAGTAGAGATGAGGGGCCACTTGGAGGATGCTCTGGATTCCCAAGGGGCTGCCGTGCTGCCTGCTGTCCTGCCGACCTCTCTCTGTCTCGGCAGAGCCTTATAATAATAACAGCCATAAATCTTTTAGTGGGTTCCTTTCTCATTCTCTTCCTGTGAAAAGCCCTGCACACATTTATCAGGTCCTTAAAGATGCTCCAGACCATGGACTTGCCCTTGATCCACCTTGTCCCTGGCCTCGTGCATCCCTCTTGGCTATTCTGGGCTTCCTTCGAACCATAGCATGGGTGGCGTCACACCATGGTGGGGGCACTGGGAGAGTACGGTTGGAAAGGGGGACGATGTAGGTGCGATTTTTGGCTCAGATTTGGACTGGAACGGCCCCAGCTCTGCCCAGCATCTTGCTGCCTCATCTCAGTACCCTGACCTATCTCTCTAGGTCAATGAAGGGGCAAACAGAGTCACAGAAAAGTGTCAGAATGGGTTTAATGAGCAGTTATGTTACCTGCTTTTCATCAGCAGCTGAAAATTAAACAAAACTCTCACTCTCTTGGCCACTTTCACACCTTGAAATCTGTGGGTAAGAGTTCCTTTAGAGGCATGGAATACATTCCCCAATGTCAATAATGAATTGTGTATGAAGAAAAATGTAATGCTTTCAGAACATTTTCTTTTGGGCTTTGTCCATGATTAGATTACACTAAATTATAGAGTACAGATATCAGGCAATTACTCTTTGCTTTTAAGTATTCAATTTCATGGCAAATCCACGTAGCTCAGTAATTTTAAAATCACGCCGACGTGGTTACCAAGAAAATACCTCATCATCTCCATCTTGTGAAACTAGGCTCAGGTCGCCCTATAATTACCCGTGGTCCTAAGTGTAAAAGTACATTCCAGATGAAAACGGGTAATCTGTAACTCTCTGTAATTGCCACGTACCTGGAGAGACTCATAGATTTTGCTGGATAAATCTCAGCCAGATGTTGAGAAGCCGCATCCTCGCCCTACTGGTTCCTCTGGGCACTTTCCCTGTCTCTGATGCTGGCTGGGTCCTGGTCTAGGCATCCTCTAGCTTTAATCGAGAGCGTGTCTCTCTTTACTTCTGTTTTGCGAAAACATGGTCATTTTCTCCTTGGCTCAGTTCAGAACCTCCCCAAGCTATCCCCCGCCCCGACCCAGTTTTAATTTCTTCCAGGGCTGTGAATGTCCTGTAAGCAGTCGAGTCCGCTGTCCTGGAAATGGAGGCGCTTACTGAAGAAAAAGAATTATTTGAGCTGATGATGAGAAATCCAACCAGTGGCAGGAGGAGGAGGAAAACGAGAGAAGAAAGGGGCCGACATATCTAAACAGGCGGCCAGGGCGCTGTGCATAAAGAAGCAGGTGGTGGCTGGGTCCCCGTTGTGGCTCATTACTGGGAAGCACTTCAGAGGCCACCAGGTGAGGGTGGGGGGCAAGTCGGCTGCAGTGCTGAGCTTTGAACCGGCCTGTTCTGCGGAACCGACAGCATCCTCACGCTTCCTAAGTGCTGTGCTTGCTGAAGCAATTCCCATTGAAAAAGATGCAGACCATCCGGGGTGAAATCTCCTAGGTGTCTCATTTCCCTCCATAGCACCCATTTCAACCCTCAGGAGCTTCGGGAAAATTC